ACCCCCCCCCCCCCCCCACATAAGAACAAAAAAGAAACAAAAAAGTGACGTCTGACTAAAAGGACGGATGGTGGTGGTGGTGAAGTTGTACTTGTTGTGGCTGTCTCATAACCTCCTTCTGTCGTCTCAGCTCCATCACTTTCCTGTGAGAGTTTGAATGCTGAGTCAAAACAAAAGTCGGACTCGAAGCCGGTCTGTACTCCGGTACAAGCCTACCCGATTTAAACCGGACTCCGCAAGCGTTACACAGCGTCTTAGGCCCGAGTGGTCCTGTCCTCCACTGCGGAGTCTTCTCCGATGCACAGTGAGTGCATCTCCTCAACCCTCCTTCCGCCGTCTCTGCCGAAGACGATTGATATCTTCCTCCTCCTCCTCCCGAGTGTTCTTTCTTAGGCTTCAACCTCCCGGCTACGTGAATATTCTGGTCGGGTTCCGACATGGGTGCCCATGTTCCGACCAAAGCAGCTGGAGGTTTTGATCTTTTGCTTCTTGGTTTCCCGGTGGTAAACGAGGTTTCATTTTTCACGGAAGTCATAGTTCCTCCCAATGGATTCGCCGGAAAATCAGCAAAAGAGTCGTCTACGAATTGCGAGAGCCATTCCAGGTGAGCTGCGTCGTCACTCTACACAAGAAAAGGAAAAAAAAAAACATGAAAACAAAAATATTACAAATATGACAAAGTCACCACTATTATACAATTTTTTTTTTATTTGAATACAATGTAACATTCATTCATTCAGAAAAGAAAAAAACAAAATCGAATAGAGACTTCAGAATTGGCTTAGAGACCATACCGGAACGCAAATGTCGTGGAGGAAGGAATGTTCAGCGGAGGAAGGGAGATGGTGGAAGTTTGTGTTTTGAGGAGGGAAAGAGGGTGAGGAAGTAGTGGCGGTGGAAGAGGAAGAAGAGGCGGAGAAGATGTCTTCGTTGGAGAAGTCAAGAAGCTCATCCACTCGAAGTAAGTCTGGTGAAGACAAGCCATAGACGTCCATTGATAGTTACAAACTCTGACTCTGTCTCTCTCAAACACTCTGGAGTCTGTGACTGATGAGAGTCTTAAATAAGGCAAGAGAACGTGCAGAGAGAGTGACCATGCACCGTGAGTGACTCGACCCTACTCATCACTTTCATTCTTTCCTTTTTTTTTAATTATTTATCATACACCATATATCTATTGGAAAAAAATAGTAATTAACTGCACTTACGCCTCGATTGGTACTGCAGATGATGATAAAACAGTAGCAATATACTGTAGAAGTAGTATGGCAAAAGCTATATGCTTTCATTAAAGTTTTTAATAAACTGACTGGCAAAGAATTAACACTATACAATTTTAAAATTGTCATAATAGTTAGGATACTACTATATTTTTTAAAAATAAAATATATTTTTTTTAAAAATAATATATATACATATACATATATATATCATATAGTAATAATATGTTTTTATTAAAAATAATGAATCTTATTCATTATATAAATTATATTTAAAAATGTAAAATTTACTTTAAAAATATTAAACTATTTTTGGATATAAACATATTTTAATATTATTGCATTAATTAATTAATTTTAATTTTAAAAATTATTATTATTTATTTATTGGTAGAGAAGTAAATGATTCTTATATAAAATTATCATCAGAACTAATATATGTTATACAATTTATTTATTAGTGTCTAAGTAATATGTTTATAGGGATAATATATAAATATATATATTTTGTTATGTTTGTTATTAAAAATAATGAACGATATATGTAATTCTATAAATTATATTATATTTTAAATGTGAAATATTTTTCTTTTTGAAAAATTACAAATTTAATTATAATTTTAATTCTTATTTAAAAATATAAATTTGTAATTAAGAATAAAAATATTTTTTATATTATAAAAGAAAAATAAATTAATTATATATAATTATTTTTAATTTTTATATTTTCTATTTGTAAATGCTCTCCTAAAAGATCTATATGAGAGCATTGAGTAAATAGCATTTAGAGAGCATTTGCATTTAGGAAATACTTTTCTAAATGTTTCTTAGGTAAATATTGATTGAATAATAGGGAGCATAATGCTTATGCTAATGTTCTACTAATCAAGTTAGTATACTTACTATATATTTATTAGATATTCAAATGCTCAAACTTATACTATCTACATGGATAACTAAGAGTTACTTAGAATATATATACATGTTTGAGAGGTTATGGGTGATCACAATTTGATCCACGTAGTGTACGACCGCAAAAATCCTAATTAAAAATTATGAAATAAAAATTGATATAAACGATAAGTGAAGACAAAAATCGTTTAAGAAATCATTAAAGAAATAGACGAATTTATGGATTCGAGATTTGATATATTTCTGTAATTCAATAAAACGCACATATTGTGTGATAGTTTGAATACAATTTTTGAATCCTAGAATACAACCGTGACGAGACTGTTTCGCAACACCCGAAAACAGAATCTAACGAACTATAACTACTATGAATACTCTCGAGACACTTACTTTAACGCTAGAAGACTAAGGGCATGATTATCAGTATATCTTAGGATGTATTTTAGGTATTAATTGCAATTAATTTAAATGTAAATTAACCGAAATTGTCAAGGACCATCTTAGCTAAGATGTTTTCTTACGCGTCCTTCGGTGCTACGTGGCATGATATCAATGGCCGATGAGAACGGTGAGGGGTAAAACGATTTGTGTTTCCATTTTGACATTGCTCTTCTCTTTCGACATCTCTCTCGTGGCGATTTCATCTCAACGGCGCATCTCCTCTGTGATGGTTCTCGGCTCGACGGATCTCCTCCCGACTCTGGATCTCGACGGTTCTTCTCTCTCATCAGCATCTCCTTCGGCGACGGATCTCTCGGTTCTCTCGACGGTCCTTCTCTCTCATCAGCATCTCCTTCCGCGATTCGACGGTGAAAGGGTAGGTGTTCCTCCTCCTCTGTGATTTGCATGTATTTGGTTATCGTTTTCGATCAACTTTGTTGGGATTTGCATGTATTCTGTTCTCCGGTTTGTGTTAATAATCCGATAGTCTCTATTACTCATCCATTTCTTTGCTTGCTTTGCAATATATTTATAAAATCGATTGTCAAAGTTGAGAGACTGTGGTTATTTGATGATACTGTCATTTTCGTGTTTTGTTTTGAGTTACTCATATTTTTTCCGTTTGTGTTAATAATCTGATAGTCTTTATTACTCGTCCAATGCTTTTGTTGCTTTGCAATATATTTATAAAATCGATTGTCAAAATTGAGAGAGTATGGTTCATTGTTGATACTCGTATGTGTGTTCTTTTGATTCTGAGGTTAATAGGTGAGGTGAGGTTCGTCTACAATATCCGGTTCGTCTACAGCAGAGAAGCAAATAAAAAGAAACAGCTCAAGGTAATTAACTTTCTCTTAAACTCCCAAGTAATCTAGTTGGTATATTAACTCGTGTATACTGAAATGATAGTCTATTACTGCAAGACTAGTTTGTTAAGTACTCGGGTAGGCTTGAACTTGATTATTTGTGATGACATAATCTTGAAATCTTGTTATGATAATGATGTATTCTTGTTTGTATACTGAAATGATAGTCTATTACTGCAAGACTAGTTTGGTTGGTAATTAATTTAAACGGTAGTTGGTATATTAACTCGCGTAGGCTTGAACTTGAGTATTTGTGATGACATAATCTTAGCGAGCATCGTGAAATAAATGTTCTAGTTTGATTCCAACCAAAACGTGTAGACATGAACTCTTGTTTCGATAATGATGTATTCTTGTATGCTTACTGAAATGATAGTCTAGTTTGTTTGCAAGGCTAGTTTGTTTCGTAGTTAATGCACTTGGTAGTTAGGTGATTATGAGCGTAATAACTACTGTTACAAGTAGGTGTGCACATTTAAGTAAGACGTTGAACTGAGTTTTCTACTTAGTTTGTTTTATTAGACAAGTATTAGACAAGACTTCCTTGTAGCTACGTATCAGACAAGTATTAGACAAGACTTTTATTACTCTAACCGTATGACTTATTTTAGCCTGGTGTTTGGTAGCTAAGGTCTTTATGGTGTTTGGTAGCTACTCTTACATTCCTTTATTGTTTGTAGATGGCGTTTCCGCATGAACCTCATTTTTTAAAGCCACTGCTTCCTGGTTTCAACACTGGTTTGGTAGACACACTCTCTCTATTTTTCCGTTGTATATGTTTCTAATTTTTAGTTGTGCTTAACTCTGCCTATTCTGAATTGCAGACCATACCACTTACCTTCTTCTCAAAGCACGTAGAAGGGAACCAGACACCATGGAAAGTGGAAACTAAGATCGGACGCTTCTGATAAGACTTGGGAAGTCATACAACAAGGCAGGAGACTCACCGCTGGTTGGAAAAAATCGCCAAAGCACATAACCTTCGAATCAGTGACATTGTCATCTTCAAAAAGGAAGGAGACAATGTGTTTCATGTAACTCCTTTTGGTCCTAGCTTTTGTGAGATTAAGTATATACACCTCCTCACGTGATCAAGGAAGAAGCCGGCGTGGATGATGCTGCAGGTGAGATTTGTAAGTTTCAATAAAAACTCACCGTTTTCTTTTGATTCATTAAAAATTTTTCTTATGTTTCAGGAGGAACATGAGCAATGTCTTCTTTCTCATTTGAGTACTGTTTTTTTGGCTGAGGTCACGGCTTCAAACCTAAAAGAAGACAAACTGGTAAGTAGTTAGGCGTTTTGTGTTTCTATTTCAAATCTAATAGAAGATTAACTTTTGATTTGTTATGTGTTTGCAGCATCTTCCTGTGGCAGCTACGCATTGTACTGCTTAGAACAAACAGTGCCAAGAGGTGATACTAGTGAACAAGGAGGGAAACTCATGGATTGCGAATTTGCTATTTAGCAAATCAGGGAGCATGTATTACATCAGAGGAGGGTGGACGAAGTTCTGTCGTGATAACATATGCGACATAGGAGACTTATTTGTCTTCTATGTCGTTGGAGATGGGAAAACTGCTCCATTGATGTGTGTATGTCCTGAACGCAAACAGTGCTCCGAAATACTGAGGGAACATTTGGCAGAAAGAGTGGTGAGTTGTGTATCGGGTAGTTTGGTGGTTGTTTGTTTGCATGTTGGTTGTGTGTTGTCCCTTTGCTCTTCTTCTAATGCTATGTTATGACTTAGCTTGTATTGTAATGACTTGTAATGCTATGTTATTTCTTATTGCTTCTATTGTAATGACTTGTTTCATGTTTTTAAATAATGTTTCAATTTTAATGTTTCATGTTTTTAAATAATGTATTCTATGTTTTAAACTTATCTTTTATATCTACTTACTTATAAAATTAAACAATTAATATACTAACAAACTACAAAAGTCCTACCAATAATCTACACATTTAACAAATGTCCTTAATAAAGTCCTAAACATACAAATAATATAAAAATAATCTAAGGACTTTCTTTTTGTCCCACCAATAATGATGCCCTAAGAGAGAGATTTTGCTAGAAACTTTAGTGTTTGCTTTGTATGTGTGTATGTAATGAAGAAATTATGTGTCTATTTATATGGGTATGAGTTACTTGATTACCAAGAAATAATCTTGCGAGAAGGTAAAAGAATATTCTTGAATAGAAGTATCACATAATTCTTATAGAAACATCTATACTACTAAAGCAAAATCCCTCATAGGATTCTGCCCTTATTTTTTTTAGATATTTACAAGGATATGTCACTATCATAAATAATAAAATCAATTATTTCAATATTAGCTATCATATATTCCAACTGGTTCGGTAATACTCTGAATAATTTGGATATTTTCAAGATATTCTAAAAAGACTAAAAGGGCATAATTATAACAAACTGGATCACACACGATCTTCTCTTTTTCTCATTCGACGAACTCGCGAGTTAGCACCATGAACTCAACACACACACACTTTATTCCAGCCGAATACTTTAATATTTAAAAAATTTCAGTTTGGGGCT